TATTAACTTCTTGGCGCTTATTTTCTTCATTTGTGGAAAAGTGATGATAATGAAATTGATTGCATAGACTCATGTAAAGCAAATGTGAGTTAATAAACATTAAACGCTAATGGGAGAACCTAGCATCAAGCTGTGTCAATTAATTCTGATCTCACAACCCCTTCCCCAAATCCCACTTAGGACGAAGAAAAAAACCTCTTTGACAGGACCCCCTGGGGGCTGGAGCGATAGCACAGTGGGTAGGGCATTTGCCTTGCATGCAGCAGACCCGGGTTCGATTCCCAGCATCCCATATGGTCCTCCCAGCACCGCCAGGGGTAATTCCTGAGTGCAGAGCCAGGAGTAACCCCTATGCATTGCTGGGTGTGATCCAAAGAGGAAAAAACAAACAAACAAACAAACAAACAAACAAAAAACCAGGACCCCCTTCTAGCTCTGAGCCTCAGTGGTTCACTGCATGCCCTGTGTCTGCTCTGCTTCCAAAGCACAAGCCCTGTAACCCTAACCCTCTGCCTGAAAGCTCTTCCCTTCTCTTGATTCCACTCATAGTTCCTACTGTAAGGCAAAAATCTCTTCCTATATGTGACATCTCTAATCTTACCAATGAGGCCAAAGCACGTTCTATTCTGCTCCCAAACATTGTTTTTAGAAGTGGAAATGTGAAATCGATTTGTGGGATTTGATCCTGCCCATCTTCCCCCTTTCCTTATAGCTCCACAGGACACATGCCTCTGTTCTGTTCACCATTTTATTCCCAGCACCTAACTTAATGCCTTTCACATTGATCTTCAAAACTTTGTTGTACTATCCCCAGACCAGTAGTACAGTGGGTAGGACTCTTGCCTTGCATGAGGCCAATCCAATTAGACCCCATTCTGGGTTTGATCCCTAGCATCCCGTAAGGTTGCCCGAGTACAACCAGGAGTAATTCCTGAGGGAAGAGCCAGGAGTGACCCCTGAGCATTGCGAGGTGTGGACTTAAAACCAAATAAATAAATAAAATAGGAGTATTTTTTTTTCTTCTTAAATTTTAATTAGTGAAACACCATGAGATACAGTTGTAGACTTACAAATTTTTGTGCTTGGGTTTCAGTTATACAATGATCTAATACCCATCCCTCCACCAGTGCCCATTCTCTACCACCACCAGTCCCAGTATCCCTCCTTCCCCCCATCCCCCCATCCCACCCTACCTCTCCTTCCCCCCATCCCCCCCATCCCACCCTACCTCTGTGGCAGGGCATTGCCTTTTGTTATCTTTCTCATTTTGAGTGCTGTGGTTTGCAAAAGAGACATTGAGTGGCAATCGTGTTCGGTCTATAGTCTACTCTCATCACGCATTTCCCATCCTGAGAGAAACCTCCCCACACCCTTTATTTGGTGCTCCCTTCTCTATCTGAGCTGCCTTTTCCCCTAGCGTGTGTGGCTGTCCTCAAAGCCATGGAGTAATCCTCCTGGTACTTATCTCAGCTAGTCTAGGTTGTTAGTCTCCTATTTTGTTACTTTATGTTCCCCAGATGAATGCAATCTTTCTATGTCTATCCCGCTCTTTCTGACTCATTTCGCTTAGCATGTTACTTTCCATGTAGTACCACTTGTATATTAATTTCATGACTTCGTCTTTTCTAATAGCTGCATAGTACTCCATTGTGTAGATGTACCAAAGTTTCTTTAACCAGTCATCTGTTCTCGGGCATTCAGGTATTTTCCAGATTCTAGCTATTGTAAAGAGTGCTGCAATGAACAAACAAGTGCAGATGTCACTTCGACTATACTTTTTTGCCTCTCTAGGATATATTCCCAGGAGTGGTATTGCTGGGTCAAATGGGAGCTCAATTTCTAATTTTTTGAGGATCGTCCATACTGTTTTCCAAAAGGGCTGAACCAGTCGGCATTCCCACCAGCAGTGAAAATGGGTCCCTTTCTTGCCACATCCTCGCCAACACCAGGTGTATTTTTAAAATTTGCTGAGTGAACTAGTGGAATAAGAGATTAGCAATTTACTTTTCTTCATTGCCTTCAGCCAATAAATCCAGTATAAGAGTTTCTTCCTTTTCTTCTGCAAGTTGTTTACCCTCACAATTTTTCTTCTTTTATTTATTTTATTTTTATTTTTATGATTTTTTGGGGGGAGGCACACTCGGCTGGGATTAATCCTTGCTCTGAGCTCAGGGATCACCCCTGGCAGGCTCGGGGGATCATATGGGATGCCAGATATCAAACCTGGGTTGGTCGCATGTTTGGCAAACACCCTACCCACTGTACTATGGCTCCAGCACCTTTTGATAATTATTTTTAAAACTTTTATTTCTGGTACTGTAGTTTACAAAAACTGTTAATATGATTTTATACATAGAACATTCCAGAACCATATCCTCCACCAGTGTCTGCTTCCCTCCACCATTGTCTCAGTATCTCCACTCTGCTCTGCTCTACTCATGACACGTTGGGTCAGTCATGTTGGCTTTGTGCAAGGCAAACGCCCTACCCACTATGCTATCGCTCCAGCCCAACCGCAGAAATATCTATGATTATTTCAGGTACTTTCTCTGCCAAATCAACCAAAAGACTGCCTATGTTTCCCCTCATCCCCTTAATGATACCTCTACTGGAGAATTTGCTGGTAATTTCAAAAAGAAAAAAAATGCCTAGATGGCTAGAAAGGGCAAAACAGATTTTCATCATACATACCTAGAATGCAATTGGACTGGAGAAATAATAGCCAGAACTGATTCATAAGTACTATTCTGGGTTGTTTGTTTGTTCATTTACTATTCAGAGGACCAGCATTGCTATAGTCTCGGAAGCTAGTGTCCAGGAATGGCTGCGCAGAACATATGAGGAGGTAAAGGGTCCTGTGAAGAATATTATGTTCCAGAAGGAGCAAGTGAACACCATAAACTGGGTGGAGAAGTTGTGCTGTAGAGCATGTCTGCATAGTAGCGGGAGAAGACCACAGCCAGGTGCATTGTAACTTTAAGGCTGCTCCCAAGGATGCCTGAAGCATAGTCATTCCTGTAAATGCACACAGTGTCAGCTGCAGTAGCAGGAAACAGTGGACTGACAGTGTGGGAGTGGTAGGTGACTACGTCTTCAGCATCGTTGCCAGCTGCAGTGCACGTTGCCTTTGCTGTAAAGGAGATATTGAGTTCTACATACTGAGAGGATAATTGGCCAGTGGGGAGCGACTTATCTTTTTTGCTCTGCATTTGGCGTTGTTCCATGATCACCTTTAAATAGTAACTTGATTATAATGAAGTGTGTTGTCTAACTGAAAATCTCTGAGTTATTATCTAAGTTTTGAATTAACGTCTGCTATCTTGCAACTGGGCTGGAGCGATAGCACAGCGGGTAGGACGTATGCCTTGCACGCGACTGGCCCAGCCAACCCGGGTTTGATTCCTCCGCCCCTCTCGGAGAGCCCGGCAAGCTGTGGAGAGTATCTCGCCTGCATGGCAAAGCCCAGCAAGCTCCCTGTGATGTATTCAATATGCCAAACACAGTAACAAGTCTCAGAGTGGAGACGTTACTGGGCCCACTTGAGCAAATCAATGAACAATGGGAGGACAGTGCTACAGTGCTACATCTTGCAATCAAGTGACAGTTGAAACTAAGAACAAAAAGAAAGGGGAATAAGGAAAAAATGATCGTACAAGGGTTAAAGTGCTGGCTTAATATGCAACCAACCTCTGGCGTTGATCACCAGCATTACATAGAGCCCCAGCACCATCAGATGTGGCAAAAACCAGGAAAGAAGGAAGGAGGAAGGAAGGAAGGAAGGAAGGAAGGAAGGAAGGAAGGAGGGAAAGAGGGAAAGAGGGAAAAAGAAAGGAAGGGAGGGAGGGAGAAAGAAATGAAGTAAGAGGGAAAAAAGAAAGGAAGAGAGGGAGGAAGGAAAGAAGGAAGGAAGGAAGGAAGGAAGGAAGGAAGGAGGGAGGGAGGGAGGGAGGGAGGGAGGGAGGGAGGGAAGGAAGGAAGGAAGGAAGGAAGGAAGGAAAGAAGGAAGGAAGGAAGGAAGGAAGGAAGGAAGGAAGGAGGGAAGGAGGGAGGAAGGAATGAAAGAAGAGGGGAAAAGAAAGGAAGGGAGGGAGGAAGGAAGGAAGGAAGGAAGGAAGGAAGGAAGGAAGGAAGGAAGGAAAGGAGGGAGGGACGGTAAAGGGAGAAAGGAAGGAAAGAAAGAAAGAATGTAGGGAGGGAGGGAAGGAGGAAGGAAGGAAGGAAGGAGAAAAGGAGGAAGGAAGAAATGAAGGAGGGAAAAAGAAAGGAAGAAAGGAAGGGAGAAAGAAATGAAGTAAGAGGGAAAAAAGGAAGGGAAGAAGAGAAGGAAGGAAGGAAGAAAGGATGAAAGGAAGGAGGGAAGGAGGGAGGAAGGAATGAAAGAAGAGGGAAAAGAAAGGAAGGGAGGGAGGAAGGATGAAAGGAAGGAGGGAAGGAGGGAGGAAGGAATGAAAGAAGAGGGAAAAGAAAGGAAGGGAGGGAGGAAGGGAGGAAGGAAGGAAGGAAGGAAGGAAGGAAGGAAGGAAGGAAGGAAGGAAGGAGGGAGGGAGGGAGGGAGGGAGGGAGGGAGGGAGGGAGGGAGGGAAGGAAGGAAAATCCAAAGTAAGTTTCACAAATATGTTCTACAAACAGTGTCAGGCTTTTTCCTGGAAGTTTTTCCTCAGCACATCTGGTTCCTAGAAATATGTTCTTTTAAAAACAAATTGTCCTGGCTTCAGGTACCTTGAAGATACATTTTCTCAGAGAAAAGTTCTGAAAGCAGACGATGAAGTGCCTTCCACCACTGCTAGCGATCTCAAGTGCATTGAAGTGTTCACTGAGATCCTGGCAATTATTGCCTAAAAATATATCGATTGAGTACACAGTTTGAAAAGCGATGCCTCTGTGCGTTGCCAAACCCACAACCCGCCCCAGCGCACACGCCTGGCCTTTGCCCCTTTCAAAGTCCCGTGGGCTGGAGTTCGCTCAGTCCCTGCCCAACACACCCCTTCCTTCGCTCCACCTCCCAGCCATCCTCATTCCCGGCTGTTTGTTTAAATCCCAGGGTGGGAAGTGTGTGCTCCCCGTTCCTGTCCGGCTCATCACCATGTTCTTCCTGACCCCAGTCTTGGTAGCCGTCATCTGCATTCTGGTTGTGTGGATCTTTAAAAATGCTGATGGAAGCCCCGGGAAGAGGAAAGAGGAATCTCCAGCCAGGACCCAGGCTCGTCCCTGGGTGGATGAAGACTTGAAAGACAGCTCTGACCTCCACCCAGGGGAAGAAGGTAAAGACGCTGGTGAAGGGTCCCAGTGCGACAGGGAGTATTTCTGTGACCAGTGAGTGTGGATTGGTGGCAGGACTGTGGAGGGAAAGAAATGTACCCAGAGCAATTTCACCATCAACCTCTACTCTACAGACATGTGAGTGGGTGGTAGAGGCAAATTATTTCCCCAGGGGGCCAATTTATGGAGTGTGGTACCCACCTCCCTTATTGCTTGGTACTCTGCAAACTCAGGATGACATTTCTTCTGACTCCAAGCCTCTTCTAGCTGCTAAAACTTTCCTGAAAGGGCAGCCATGCTGGCAGCTGAAGGGGAATAAGCCGTTAAAGTTTTTTTTTTTTTTTTTTTTTTGCTTTTTGGGTCACACCCGGCAATGCACAGGAGTTACTCCTGGTTCATGCACTCAGGAATTACTCCTGGCGGTGCTCAGGGGACCATATGGGATGCTGGGAATCGAACCTAGGCCGGCTGCATGCAAGGCAAACGCCCTGCCCGCTGTGCTATTGCTCCAGCCCGTAAGCAGTTAAGTTTTTGATGGAGAACTTTCGTTTTTGTTTGGAGTCACACCTGGCACTGGTTTAGGGGCTGCTCCCAGTGCAGTTCATGGAGGTTGCTCCAGTGAGTACTGAGGGAACATAAGATGCCAGAGATTGCATCTGGGATTCCTGCCTGCAAAGCATGTGCTCCGGCTCATTGAGTTACCTTCCCAGCCCTTAGTCAAGAGCTTTGAAATAAATTATGGCAGCTGGCCAGAGACTTTTTACCACATTAGAGACAGAAGTGTCCTCTGTTCTCAAAGCTGAGGATCCAATGCAGCAAACAAGGTAATAAACAGGCAAAAGAGTAATAAAGATAAGGACTGGGTGAAATGATTACAGATATTTCACCCTTAGAAGAATTTCCAGGTGGTAGAAGGGCACCTTTAGAAGAAGGGAGAAGCTAGTCTGGAGGTCTAGAAAGATCTGAATTTCAAGATTCTAGAGGCGTCCCAGAGAAGGAGTATGAGGACAGTGCTGAAACTCCTTATCCCTTGGGGAATAAGGAAGGGCGTATTGACCAGGAGGAGGGACTGGAATGAGATGAGGAAGCCAGGGAGAGCCAGGTTATAGCTGACGTGAGAAAGAATTGGTCACAAGGGTGCTGGACGGAGGTGGGTGGATGGGGGATTTTCAAAGAGTCTTGAGTTATCGGTGTTCCAGAATGGTTTGGGGGTGGGTTCGTGGGGTAGATTCAATTTCTGAACAACTCAGTGATTATCTACTGGATAAGTGATGCTCCTGACCTCTCACAGAAGCCATATAAAATATGTGTGTATGTCACACATGCACACATCTAGGTGTGCATGCACAAGTACAGGTGTGTGTTTGCACACACCTGAATTATTTCAATATTAGCATCAGGGAGTTGGGTATATAGTTGGTGTCAGTAGTGGGAGACAGCATTGTTGAATGTGCTGCAAAGGGTCAAATGCAAGTAGCCTCCTGTCTGGACCACCTCTCACTCATAGGTTGTAGGATGTGCCCCCCACACAGCCAATTATTCCTTACTATGAGACACGCCCTTAAACACAACCTTTTGAAACTGGATAATGATCTGCAGGGAAAGGTGTGTATTTAAGGCAGTAAATTTCCCTCCAAATAAAATACTGTAGAATATTGCATATTTTAGTATTACAAATATTACAAATCATGTTACAAATTAAATTCATATTAAGTTTGAAGTGCTTCTAATTTCTATTTTGTTTTATTTTTCAGTTATCTTTTTATTATTGATTTCTAGCTTAACTACACTGTGATCAGAAATTGTTATTGAATCTTTTTAAAAAAAACATGTTAAAAAAAGTTATGTCACACAGTGAATGACCAATTTTTACAAATGCTTGTTTGAATTGCTAAATATAATGTATTTTTGGCAATTGTTAGGTGCAGCACTCTAAATATGTCCTTTTGGCTACTTTGCCAATTGTCCTCAAACCTCTGCTGCTCATTGATTTTTTTTCTATTTATCCCATCATTACTGAGAGATATGGAAGAGATTACATTACAATTACTGATTTTTACATTTCTTTTTCAAAATCTAAGGTCCTGTAATATAAATGCATGCACATGTGATATTCTCTTTTACAGAATCATTCATTCAATTAAAATTTGTTATGACACCATTTTTATCATCAATACTTTTTGTCTTGCACCTTAAAACTTTTCTATATTCTTATATATTTTATATGTACCTTATAACTACATTGAAAAATGGTTTACTGATAGATACTTTTAAAAATATGTCTTATCTAGGTGGAGCGATAGCACAGAGGTAGGGCATTTGCCTTGCGTACAGCCAGCCTGGCCGAGCCGGGTTCGATTCCTCCTTCCCTCTCAGAGAGCCCAGCAAGCTACCGAGAGTAACTCGCCCGCACGGCAAAGCCTGGCGAGCTCCCAGTGACGTATTCAATGTATAATATATATTCAATATGCCAGACACAGTAACAAGTCTCAAAATGGAGACGTTACTGGGCCTGCTCGAGCAAAATTGATGAACAACGGGAGGATAGTGTTTGTTGTTTGTATCTTACCACCATGATTCATGATTTACAATACTGTCAATGGTAGGGTTTCTTGCACATAACATCCCAACACCACAATGGCCGTGGGTGCTGTTTCCTTCCCCCATTGTCCCAGGGTCCCTCCCCACCCCCCCTTCTCCTCCCCACCTGACTCTCCCCATTACTCACTGCCCTAGTGATCAGTTTTGTAGACCAGCTCTGATATTCTGTTGCTTTTGGCCGTTTGTTGTTCCTTTACTATGGGTTTTTAAATCTCACATATGAGAGTGATCAGAACAATCTTGCTCCTTCTGGCTATCTTCACTCAGTGAGATCCCCTTCTGTTCCTTATATGTAGTGGCAAATTGTAAAATTTCATCTTTTCTTGTAATTGAGTAGTGCTCCACTGTGAATATGTATTCATATATTTGTACATATACTAATGTATATACACATATATAGCATAATTCCTATATTCAATAATCTCTCCCTGGACATTTTTGGTTATTTATTTTTTGTTCTTAATAAAAATTTAGACCAAATGGAAAATTAGTTCACTTGAATATAAATAAGCTATTAAATTAGTTTATTTTAAATCCTCATCTACCAGGATTAGTGGCCTGTACGGGGATCGAACCCGCGACCTTGGCATTATTAGCACCACGCTCTAACCAACTGAGCTAGCACAGCGGTAGGGCGTTCACCTTACAAGCAGCCAACATGGCCGACCCGAGTTCGATTCCTCCGCCCCTCTCGGAGAGCCCGGCAAGCTACCGAGAGTATTTGATATGCCAAACACAGTAACAACAAAGTCTCCAATGGAGACGTTACTGGGCCCGCTCAAGCAAATCGACGATCAACGGGAGGGCCTTTACCTTTACCTTTACCTTTACCATCTACCAGATCTTTCACTTTTTGATATTTACTAAAAGTATCAGAAATCTTTAAATTTTTGCCTAACAAAAGCATGACTTTTGACATCAATAAGGTTTCAAATGCATAATTCCTAGTAATATGATCCAGGACCTTGGACATCAAACTCTCATATATTCTGGAATTATAGTGAGAAAATTATCAGTGAGTATTTTATTTCAATTCCTCCACCCCCTCGGAGAGCCCAGCAAGCTACTGAGAATATCTCACCCGCACGGCGAAGCCTGGCAAGCTCCCCATGAAGTATTTGATATGCCAAATACAGTAACAAGTCTCACAATGTTACTGGGCCTGCTCAAGCAAATTGATGAACAACGGGAGGACAGTGACAGTGACAGTGATTTTATTTCAAAATTGTTTCCATTATGTGAACACATTTATCTTATTTTTCTGACTTAAAAAAATTACGGATGATATTGAGTATCTTTGAGGCACCCAGTGTTGATTTGAGCAAATAATACACTTGGGTTGGAGACGTAGCTTAGTGGCAGGTAAGTTGCCTTGCACATGCAAGACTTGGGTTTGATCCCTGGCATTGCATGGTCCCCTAAGCACTGTCAGTGATGGTCCTGGTGGCCCCCAGTGCTACTAAGACCACAAATTTAGTCCATTTATGTTAACTGAAATTCTTCCACATGGCAAAGCCTGGCAAGCTACCCGTGATGTATTCGATATGCCAAACACAGTAACAACAAGTCTTACGATGAAGACGTTACTGGGCCCGCTCGAGCAAATCAGTGAACAACGGGAGGACAGTGCTACAGTGCTTCTTCTTCTTGTGAGGATTTCAGAAATTTCCTGGGTCTCCTGGATCTGTAATGCTGTTATTTTTCCTAGCACTGGGGAAAATCTCGGCTGTTTTCTCCTTAACTTATTGTCTTGCCGCATCTTTTTCCTCTTCGGTCTTGGTTATTCTGTCATGTATGGTAGACATTCTCATTCTTCTTTATTTTTCCTTGCTTTCCCCCAACCCATGTTTTCCATCTTTTGGTCTCTCCTACTCAACTATGATTTTTTTTTCTGACTGTTTCTCAAGCCCATTAATTCTTCCCCTTGGTGTGTCTAAACCAATACCAAACAGTTCCATTAAGATGTTAAGCACATTATTTTATTTTTTAGTTCTAAAAGTTATATTTTTTTTCTTTGCTTTGGTTTGGTTTTTTAGGCCACACCTGGCAGTGCTCAAGGTTTACTCCTGGCTCTGTGAATCAATCTTGGTGTTGCTCTGGAAACTATATATGGTGCCTGGGATCAAAACCGGATCGGCTATATGCCAAGACCAGTGTTCTACCTCCTGTGCTGTCTCTCTGGGCCTAATTTTTGTACTTCTTATGTCTCTTTTATTTCTTTTTTTTTGTAAATATATTAACCATTGTTGTTTTGTCTTTAGAGTTTTGTCTTTAGAGCCTGGTAATTTTGCATTTGATTTGCAATAGATCTCTGCTGAATCTATTTTAAAACCCATTCCTGCTGTTTCTTGCTCAAGATGTTTTATTTCTTCTTTCGTGTGGCTGTTTGTGCTTGGTCAGTTACTCTAATTAAACTGACCAACATCTTCTTCATTGTCTTTTTTTGTCATCTTCGTTCAGTTTCTTCTTCCTTCTTCTCTGTTGCTGAAATGGTATGGTACATATCACTTGACAGCATCCCGTCCTTCTGTCATTCTGTCTTCCTGTTCTCCTGTGGAGTGACTGTCTTTCTTGTTCTTAGTCGCAGATGCTGACGAATGGCAAGAGTCCGAAGAAAGTGTGGAGCATATCCCATTCTCACACACTCGGTATCCTGAGAAGGAAATGGTAAAGCGATCCCAGGAATTTTATGAACTTCTCAATAAGAGACGGTCTGTTAGATTCATCAGTAATGAGCAAGTTCCAATGGAAGTCATTGATAACGTCATCAAAGCAGCAGGTTCGTAGTTGAGGACAGAGATGTGTGGCGATACTAAGGCAATGTTTAAGTTCCAGCATAGAGACCAGAGTCTAGAGCAGTATGTTTATCTAGAAGCATTACCCACAAGTCAGCCTAGAAACAGAACTTACACTTTCAACTCTTAAATTTGCTGGGGCGGAGGAGCCATGTTTAGCAATGGTGCTCAGGTCTTACTCCTGGCTCTTTGCTCAGGGATCCTCCTAGTAGTGCTCCAGGTACCATAAATGGTGTTGAGGATCAAACCAGGGCCGGTCATGTGCAAGAAAAGTGCCTTAACTCCTGAAACTCATATATATATATATATATATATATATATATATATATATATAAATCCCATTGGTCGTCAAATTACTAGAGCGGGCACCAGTAATGTCTATTCCTCCCAGCCCTGAGATTTTAGCAGCCTCTTCTTAATCATCTTTTCCCAATGATTGGAGACTCTTTCAGGGTCAGGGGAATGAGATCTATTGTCATTACTGTATTTGGCATATCGACTATGCCACGGGGAGCTTGCCAGTCTCTGCCCATGTGGGCGGTATACTCTCAGTAGCTTGTCGGGCTCTCCAAGAGACAAAAATGGGTAGGAAGTGTTTTCTAATGTGTTGCACGGCCACTTTGTGGCTATGTGGTCCGGAAAGTGGCCTGGAGCCTGGTGATGGTTGGGCAGTGGAGGTCGGCTGCCGGAGCTGGTCCCTTGGGGTGGGGAGGGCTCTCACCCACCCCACAGCCTGATGCGGAATCCAGTGGCATGGTTCGAGCCTGATGCAGGAATGGAGTCCCACGGAACCCAGATAATGTGGAACTTTGTGACCTTGGACTCTGGACTCAACGGGACCAGAACAGAGATCCTCTGCCTACTTCCCCCAGTCTTCAGTGGCTCAGGGATCACACCCATAAGCCACACCCTGCAGGCACCAGATAATCTCCTCATTGGCCACCCTCCAGAACTCACGAATGCTCCTCCCAGACGGGAGTATAAAAGAAGGCTTCCAGAACCATGCCACCAGACTGCCCCGGGCTGTGGGGCGGGTGAGAGCCCTCCCACTGCTCAATCACTGCCCAACCACCACCACGCTGCTCCAGGACTCTTCCTGGATGCTCAGGCCGAGCCTCACGTAAGAATGAAGTCCCACGGAACCCAGATTATAATATATATATATGTACATATATATATATATATATATAGAGAGAGAGAGAGAGCACTGCAGCACTGTCAGTTGTTTATCGATTTGCTTGAGCAGGCACCAGTAATGTCTCCATTATGAGACTTATTGTTACTATTTTTGGCATATCAAATACATCACAGTAGCTTGCCAGGCTCTGCCATGTGGATGGATACTCTTGGTAGCTTGCCAGACTCTCTGAGAGGGATGGAGGAATCGGGTCGGCCATGTGCAAGGCAAATGCCCTACCCACTGTGCTATTGCTCCATCGCTCCAGTATATATATTATATATAATTTTAATATGTATATAAAATTTAATGGGCTGGAGCGATAGCACAGCAGTAGGGCATTTGCCTTGCATCCAGCCAACATGGCCGACCCGAGTTCGATTCCTCCGCCCCCTCGGAGAGCCCGGCAAGCTACCAAGAGTATCTCGCCCGCACGGCAGAGCCCGGCAAGCTACCGAGAGTATTTGATATGCCAGACACAGTAACAACAAAATCTCCAATGGAGACGTTACTGGGCCCGCTCGAGCAAATCGATGAACAACGGGAGGACAGTGACAGTGATAAAATTTAATATATATAATATATATATAATTTTATTGAATAACTGTGAGATAGAGTTACAAAGCTTTAATGTTTGAGTTTAAACCACACAATGATTGAACACCTATCCTTCCACCAGTGCAGACTTTCCACCACCAATGTCTCAGTATCCCCTCTCCCCATCTCAATCCTCACCCTGCCTCTATGGCAAACAATTTCCCCAGTACTCTCTCTCTCTACTTTGGGGCATCATGTTTTGCTCAAATTTTCCCACCACCATTCAAGCCTGCTTGCCAGGGGCAGACACTAGATAATTTATTTTCATTGCTCATTTTGAATATCACGAGAGCCACACATTTATGGAATTCTAGATGGTAAATGGTTGGGTTTCAGAGACATCTCTGTAGGGCACGAATACATTTTGGGATTCAACTGGGAATCTCTGGACCAGGGTTGTTACTGTGCTAAGATGGCGACGGGAGGCAGATTGTGTGCATGACAGCCAGGCTGCTGGAGCAGGTGGGAAGCCGGGGAGGGACCACCTGTCTCCTCTTCTGCCATTCAGCCTAGAGATTTAGTCCTGGAACCTGCATCCCTGGGTCTTGCTTTCTGCCATTCAGCCTAGAGATTTAGTCCTGGAACCTGCATCCCTGGGTCTTGCTTGTGGAAGTTCTTTGTCGCCGGGATTCGATCTGGAGTAGGTGGAGAGACTACACCTGCTCCATCTCCGTTTCTGGCACTGTGGTGTCTTCCAGGACTAGCTGCTCTGTTTCTCTGACTACATTTTTAAGCCTCCAACTCTTAAATTTCTTAGGGGTAGGTGTGGCAGCAGTGATAAACCTCTGAGATTGTTCAGTATTATGAAACTCTATTTAAAAAAAACCCTACATTTTCTGAAGGCACAGCTATACACTGGAAAAGAAATGTTTTCCCATGTCATAATGCAAACATTTTCTTATTCATCCCTACTCATTTTTCTTTTGGATATCAAATTTTTAATTATGTATATACAAATATTTTGCTGCAGGACTGTATTTCAGTGAATTTACCCATGTGAATTTGCCTAGTAAATCAAAATAAGGCAAACCATTTCCCATGTAGAATATATATTAATATAATATAAAATTTAACATCAATGAAAACAATGAGCATTGCAGAAAAAGTCAGGATAAAACATGGTAGAAAGCCCTCTATTTGAGTCTTCTCTGATTACAATCATATTCCTAAAATCATTGTCACTATCATCCTGTTGTTCATCGATTTCCTCGAGCAGGCACAGGTAACGTCTCCATTCATCCTAGCCCTGAGATTTTAGCAAGTGCCACATTGGAGGCTCTTTCCGGGTCAGGGGAATGAGACCCATCATTGTTACTGGGTTTTGGCATATCGAATACGCCACGGGGAGCTTGCCAGACTCTGCCGTGCAAGCAGGATACTCTTGGTATACATATTCTTAAAATATCACATTTTAATAGCAACTCAATTTATTTCATGATTATATTTGGATCTCTAAATAAGCACAAAGATAAGATATTCTTATCAATCTGGCCTAATAGGAAACATTAGAAAAAAAGTTTATTTCTTGTGTTTAGTGATATAAATTTTTAGTTAAAACCAAAATGAACTGGAATCATGGTCAGAAATTTGGGTTTTATGTTCAGCTTTTGATTTGCATCACACAATCCAATCAGACCTTTCTACCATGGGCTTGAACCTGGTGAGCAAGAACCCCACAAAGCCGACTGCCACCTCCTGGGCCCATGTACATTTTATGCCTTTAGACTATTCATTACTTAGAAGTAAAAGTTTCTTCTGAGACACCCTTCCTGATGAGTGACTATGGCCTACTGCTAGAAACAGTGGGCCACATGGAGAGAGAAAGAGAGAGAGAGAGAGACAGAGAGAGAGAAGAGAAAGAGAGAGAGACACAGAGAGAGAGAGAGAGAGAGAGTGTGTGTGTGTGTGTATGTGAGAGAGAGAGAGAGAAGATAGAGAAGGAGAGAGAGAGAGAGTACCTGCTATAGAGGCAAGCAGGATGGGATGTGGGGAACTGGAAACATTGGTAGTAGAAAATGCACAATCGTGAAGGGACAGGTGACTGAAACCCAATCATGAACAACCTTGTAACTGTATATCTCACAGTGATTCAATTTAAAAAAATAAGATAGAGAACTTATAAAAACAAAAGAAAAGAAATAGTGGGCCATTTTGGACAGAGGGATAATTCTCAATTAGAAGTTAGCCCGCGGGGCTGGAACAATAGCACAGTGGGTAGGGCATTTGCCTTGCACGCAGCCAACCGGGATTCAATTCCCAGCATCCCATATGGTCTGCCGAGCACTGCCAGGAGTAATTCCTGAGTGCATGAGCCAGGAGTAATCCCTGAGCATCACTGGGTGTGACCCAAAAATCAAATAAATAAATAAATAAATAAATAAATAAAAATTTAAAAAATGAAGTTAGCCCACTGGGATGTTACTCCAGTTCCTTGGACCCTGTGTTGCACTGTCGAGCTTCGTTCCACAACACCGGGACTGATCCAGGTCTGGGCAGAGGACTGTGGGAGCCAGTGAGAGCAAGTGATGGATGCTGAGTCCCAGGATCCAGGAGTTCTGGGGAGTCCTCACAGATCCCATCAATCCAGAGAGCCCCCCCCCCTTAGAGCTTTGACATACGCCCTAAACAAACATGCTCTAGTTGCCTTTAAAATAATGTTTTCAAAACTCGACCACGCGAAACTTATTTCCATTAAGTTTCATAACTTGATCCTTCTCCCCACCCCCACCCCCACAAGACTATCCAAACAAACTACACTTTGGAGAGCGTACTCTAAATTTCCCCTCTGCGTTTCCTTTGTGCCTACTGAGGGTTATATAGTGGTCACCTGGGACTTTCCTTCACCTACTTAGAAAAGCAGTGATGCATTCCCCAGACTTGGAGCTACTGTTTTGATCTCATTCAGCTGGCTTGAAGGATCTAGAGTGACGCTGAACAGAACAGTGTCAGTCAGTGGCAACACACCGGAGTCTCCAGTCGAGGACTTTGTCTACCTCTTGACCTAACTCCATTTGGAGCAAAACTGAATTTGTTCCATGTTTTCCTGGTTAACCTTCTCACAATTTCCTTGTTTTAATTTCCGGCTTTAATTTCATGGGTGATAGGCACAGCCCCAAGTGGGGCTCACACAGAACCCTGGACTTTCGTGGTGGTGAAGGACCCAGAAGTGAAACATAAGATTCGTGAGATCATTGAGGAGGAAGAGGAAATTAACTACATGAAAAGGATGGGACAACGATGGGTCACGGACCTGAAGAAACTGAGGTACAGAAGCTGTCGGGGAAGGGGGATTTCATTTCCCCCAAAAGAAATGACTATGACTTAGGTTTCCTGGTTTTGTTTTCAGTGTCAAACAGTTTAGTTCCACCACTAGGGGGAAACACTGGATTGAAGTCGGGCCTCACCACTCACCATCAGCCAGAACCTCGGGGACGGTGGTGTTGGTTAGGGATGCTGGCTGGCTGGAAGCAGAGCCAAATTCAGATCCTAGCTCTGTTTCCCTGATTGCAGGGCTGTTCACTTTCATGAAATATTAATCTGGGTTCTGTACGAAAATGAAAATAATAGGAAGAGAGAGAGAAAGAGAGAGAGAGAGAGAGAGAGAGAGAGAGAGAGAGAGAGAGAGAGAGAGAGAAGCACACAGATTTATTATAAGTAATTTTTTTCTTTTATTTATTTATTTATATTAGTGAAACACCATGAGGTACAGTTGTAGATTTACAATTTTTTGTGCTTGGGTTTCGATTATAAAATGATCAAATACGCATCCCTCCACCAGTGCCCATTTTCCACCACCATGGATAATATCCCTCCTACCCCCATCCCCCCCATCCCCCCCTGCCTCTGTGGCAGGGCAGTCCCTTGTGTTCTCTCTCTTTTTGGGTGTTGTGGTCTGCAAAAGAGGCATTGAGTGGCAAACATGTTCAGTCCATAGTCTACTTTCGACATGCATCTCTAATTGATGTGAAATTAAGGAGGCTGAGAGGTCCCAAGTTGTGTGGCTTCGAGCTGAAGACGCAAGAGACCATATGGAATTGTTCCAGCCCAAGTCCGAGAGTCTGAGAAACAAGACAGCCAATGAAAAAATACCAATCCAACACCAAGGCTCAGTGAAGGAGAAGGACTGAGGTCTCAGCTCAGACACTTCCAGACAGAGGAGGAAAGTTCTCTCTTATTTCACCTTTCTGTTGTATTCAGATTGTCAGCAGGTTAGGTGAGGTTCACCAACACTGAGATGAGAAATCTTTACTCAGTCTAGGGATTTTCTGTTCATCTTACCAGAACCTTCTTCATAGATATAGCCAGGATTATATTTAATCATGTGATTGTTTAATCAGGGACCCTCTTGGTGGTATGCAGGGGATCACATTTGGTGCCAGGAATTGAACCCAGGTCATCCGTATGAAAGACAAATGCCCTCTCTGCGCTACTAGCTCTCTGTCTCTCAGATTGTCTCATTTTTTGTTGCTGGCCTCCTGAGTCTGCCCACAGCAGCAAAAGCGCTTTAACAAGATGTCATAATGAATATTTATAATTTAGAACAAATTCAAACTATTATGTCAGTGAATACCTAGGAAAATAGTATTGAATAGTACAGAAATTATAAAAATTTACCAATCTGGATCATATATCATTTCGCTACAAAAAGCCTCCCTACCAGGATGATGTATGTGTCTGAGCTATCATCAAACATTTTATTTTAAAACTTATAAAGGGAGTTAAGTGCTCTTCATGCAGGAACACTTGGTTCAATCCCCAGCTCCACATGGTCCCCCAGTGGCACCCACAGCAACTTCCGACAAAGAGCCAGTAGTCCCTGGGCTCTGCAAGTATGACCCTAAAGCCAAAAGAAAGAGGAAAGGGTAGGTACAAAAAATGAGCAACCTGTCAGATGTTCAAAGGACTGGAATTCATGCTTTGCATCCAAGAGCTCTAGAGTTAATCCACAACATTGCATGGTTCTCTGAGAACTTCCCAGAATAACCCCCAAATATCACGCCAGTTGTAGCCCCTGAGTATCACCATGGTTAAAAAAAAATTACCAGCATGCCTTCAAACAAGGTGAATTGGCCAACATTTATTCTTCATTTACATTAAAAATATTTTATATGGCTATAAGCATGATACTAACAGGAATAATAACACCAGTTAACATATATCTGGCACTAGGACCTAGGGACTATTCTAAACACTATGAATTTGGACTTATTTCCTCGTCACAGTAACTGTGTGAGTCTTGGATGCCATAGTCCATGTGACCCAGGAGGAAACGGAGTCTTGAGATATTAATTAGTTTTCACTACAAGGCCAAATTAGTAAAGTCTAGAGAGTATCTTTTAGAGCATGAATGTTGTAATTTGTTTGGAGAACAGGATGAATAGATCTCGGATGAGCAAGTTACTTGAAGTAGAGTAGAGCTGTTTTAAACTGTGACCAAGAGAGGTTAATCAGGTAAGAGGAACACAGAAAAACACACAAATGAAATTAGTGTGCTTAAGAACTGAAGCATAAAGTTGACTAAAAATGAACAATCATCTTCTAATTATGACACATTCTAAGAAAAAACCCACAGATGACATCATGACTATTATTTCTCTCTTTCTACCATTTCAAGAACTTTGTTTATATTTCTGCTATAGATTTCATTTAACTTGTTTTTGAAATTGATGGATGATATTTCCCTTTCATAAGTTTACATTATGTGTACCTCTTCCTTAAATATCTATGCAGGAAAGGTGTTTGGGCCAAGATACATGAGATGGGATAATGAAATGACAGTATGTTCTTAGGTGGAAAACAGAAATTTAAATTTAAATTTCTCCTACGCCTCACCTTCATAGCTCACATGAAATCTCCCCCACTTCCACCAAGTCTCCTGCCTTTTCTCCCGATAGGTCTGTCTGACCATCTCGGCCCTGGAATCTTGGTCAAACCTCCACCCCCACCACGTGCTCCCTTATCTGTTCCCTCTGCTCCACTATCAACAACTCCCCACATTCTCTGGGTTTTGCTGGCATCTTCTGACACTCCCGACCTTGCAGCAACCTACCTGTTTCTGAAATAGATTGGATTATGAGACGCTTCTGTTCAGGTGCATGGGCCACTCTTTATTGTACCCAAAGAAGTCCAGGACCTGCTCACTCTGCTCAGAACCTCCTAGGTCACCCATGCCCCAGTCTCCCCGCACTCCAGGCTTCTGGAAATGCCTGCACAGCATTCTCCTTCCTTATCCCACTCACCACACCACACCGCCGCCAGCGCATCCATATACCCTTCTCTACCCGAACTTCAGGAAAACTCTGGAAGGATTCTTCCGCTCTTTAGTCAAAATAACTAGTATTTCACTTTGCCCCCATCCTCCAACGCATTTTTTTAAATTTCTTTTAGACTGGTTGGAGCGATAGCACAGTGAGTAGGGCGTTTGCCTTTCACGCAGCTGACCTGGGTTCGATTCCTCTGCCCCTCTCAGAGAGCCTGGCAAGCTACTGAGAGTATCTTGCCCACATGGCAAAGCCTGGCAAGCTACCCGTGACCTATTCAATATGCCAAACACAGTAATAAGTCTCACAATGCAGACCTGTCAGACGTTACTGGGCCTGCTTGAGCAAATCGATGAACAACGGGAGGACAGTGACAGTGACTTTTAGACTACCAGTTGATCTGGATTTTATGTTGCTAAACCTGGCATCATATTGGTCTCTGGATAATAGGGATAACTTTGTATTCATTCCTTCTGCTTTGCTATACTAGACATTTTTTTTTTTGATTTTTGGGTCACACCCAGTGATGCACAGGGGTTACTCCTGATTCATGCACTCAGAAATTACTCCTGGCCGTGCTCGGGGGACTATATGGGATGCTGGAAATCGAACCTGGGTCAGGCCACATGCAAGGCAAACGCCCTACCTGCTGTATTATCACTCCAGCCCCTATACTAGGCCTTTCTTAACACCTGTTTATTGAATCCAATAACTTTGGGTTGAAAAAAGATAAACAAGATACCAAAATCCTGCACCTTTTATCATGTAAGACAACTGTTTTTGTTTTCAAGGTAAATAAACCAGAGTGGTCGCAGAGAACGGAAATTGCTAAGAACACATATGCTCTAGAATATCTTTTTTTCTCCCCTTCAGAACCAACTGGATCAAAGAGTACTTGGACACAGCTCCAGTTTTGATTCTCATTTTTAAGCAAGTACATGGGTTTGCTGCAAACGGCAAGAAGAAGGTCCACTACTACAACGAGATCAGCGTGTCCATCTCCTGTGGCATGCTCCTGGCTGCCCTGCAGGTACGTGACCCTCCGCCCTGTCAGCTCTGTGTGGGCATCAGACAGTGGCCATCCTTGCAAATTGCAGTTGCGTTTGCAATGTGGGGACTCCCGGAAACCGAGAAAGGTGCATTCCTAAATAAGGTGACTCTGATGTGAAAACTGTCTTTGGAATCCTGAATGGGTGGGTCCATTCAACAAACTGGCAGTTATGTTGGACATTCACTCCACCTTATTTCTGGGCCAGAAGGTGGTCTTTGTGGGGGCTGGAGCCATGGCACAGAGGATAGGGCATTTGCTCTGCATGCGGCTGGCCCGGGTTTGATTCCCAGCATCCCATATGGCCCCTCCGAGCACCACCAGGAGTAATTTCTGAGTGCATGAGCCAGGAATAACCCCTGTGCATTGCTAGGTGTGACCCAAAATGCAAAATGCAAATAAATAAATAAATAAATAAGAAGGTGGTCTTTGTGTTTGCCTTCCTCTGAATGGACAAGGCACTTCCAGGTTTTGCGGCAGTTACACAGCCGAGTGTCCAGCAGTGAAATGTCTCGGAAGCTGTTTTCCCAGCTGTGTTTCTTCTTTTGCATGATCGAAAAAGCCAGAAGGTGGCACACAGCTCCTTGGAGGCTGAGTTTACACTGTCATGAATTAGAAAGGCTCCATGTGCTTTCAAAAATTCCATCTACCTAGAAGCCAGAGCAATGCACACCAGGAAGCAGAGCAGGGCTGGAGTTTGCCTTTCACACATTCATCCCCAGTGCTTAGCAACCACATTCCAAGCATGGGCTATGTGGCAGATGTTGGAATGCACTCCTTTTTGGTGGGGACTAAGTAGAGGGGTAAAGTAAACAGGGACAGTTAAAATAAAAGTCTAAGTTAGAAGTTCAAGTGAGTGAAAGCACTTCTGGGGAGCACAAGCCATTCCGTGCTCTCCGCTACCTCAACGGAAAACAGTGTGGACCCCAAAACTTAAAAAAATTTGGGTGTTAACAGTCATTGTGACATCCCAGAGGGACACGTTTTTCTGTTACTTGGAGATGTGTGTTGAAGGACCCGGCATCTTCCTTCCCGGTCTTGGGCGGGGATTAGTGAAGAGCTCAGGGTGAGCACTGGGCACTGCCATCCATCTCAAGAGTCCCCAAAAGTGGCCTGGAAGGCACTCAGAGTGGGGGACTCTTTCCTTGCTGTTGAGTTTGCTGCCCTCTAGCGTTTCATAGGACGAATTGTAGGAGGAAAGAGCCCCCAGCAGGGCAGACTGCAGTGACTGGACTAAACCAGCTGGCTCTGCAGGACTGTCTAGCTCCATCCAGAACTTTCAACTCAAGTTTACAGGAACTCTCTGATTGGGGTGCATGGAGACGGCTGCTGTCTTGAAACTGCAGAAGTATTTGTTAGAGATTTAGGTGGGACGGGGGAGCAGTGGATAGAGTTTTTACACTGTATTCACCATCTCCCGTGGCATCAAGGTCTCCTCTTATTGGTCATAGGGATTTCCAGATAGGGTGATGCTGTACCTCCCTCTCTAGGAACTCTTTGGATTTTTAATTTCCTTCCTTCCTTCCTTCCTTCCTTCCTTCCTTCCTTCCTTCCTTCCTTCCTTCCTTCCTTCCTATCTTTCTATCTTTCCTTCCTTGTCACACCCAGTGATGCTCAGGGGTTATTCCTGGCTCTGCACTCAGGAATTACTCCTGGCGGTGCTTGGGGGACCATAGGGGATGCCAGGGATTGAACCCAGGTCAGCCATGTGCAAAGCAAATGCCCTACCTGCTGTACTATGACTCTGGCCCCACTCTTTGGATTTTTATTTTTCCTTTGTGATTTGTTTTTGTCACTTATTATTTTGGGGGGCACACCCAGCAGTGCTCAGGGCTTACTTCTGGCTCTGTGCTCAGGGATCACGCCCGGTGGTGCTCAGGAGACCATCAATAGTGCCCAGGATCTAACTGAGGTCAGTCGTGTACAAAGCAAGCACCTTACCCACTGTGCTATCTCTGACTCTTTCTTACTTATTGGTACAGCTGAGGTCCCAAGTTTCTTTCCACAAAATAAGCATCTTAAGCATCAATAAGACCAATGTTGTCCCTTCTTAAATATGGTTCAAAAAAGGGCCAGGCTGGGGGTGTGGAGTAGGGCAGATAAGATCCAAGATACTAGTCAGTCTTAGCTTGGCAGCCTCTGTGCTGGGACAAATAGATCTTGAAAAAGACTAGAAAGTACCCGGAATGGATTCAAAGCTGTATCAACCAACTGTACCAACACTTTTCTTTTTCTCTCCTTTCAGAATGCAGGGCTCGTGACTGTCACCACCACTCCTCTCAACTGTGGCCCTCGTCTGAGGGTGCTCCTGGATCGTCCCCCCAATGAAAAGTTGCTGATGCTACTCCCTGTGGGGTACCCCAGCAAGGAGGCCACGGTGCCAGACCTCCATCGGAAACCTCTGGACCAGATCATGGTGTCTGTGTAGGCAGGAGATTCAAGGAGGTACATGCCTTCCTCTCTCCTGCAATTTCTCTGGGCTCTTCAGGCTGTCCTTTTGGGGGGGATGGGGTGGGAGGGGAGTTCATCTCCTCAGCACTCTGTACCACGGGGCAGGCCACTGAGTATATGCAAAGCTTTCCACATTCTCCAGCACCAAGTGTGAGCAATCTTGTCCGTAGTAGTGTGACTGGGAGAACAGATAGACGACATGTTATGTTCTAATCCTGTGTTCTCATCCTTTGTTCTCTCCTGTGTCTCATCGATTTTGGAGATGCATTAAAATGGTACCAAGGACATGCCTGGCTTTGTACATTTTTCTAAATTGTTTCAGAAAATTCACTGACGATTTTCTTATTTTTCTTCTTAATTCACAGATGACCAGAAAATATAGTCTCAAGAATTCAGTTATGTAATAACTAGTCAGATGGCTTTCTGATCTCTGATTTCTAGTAGCTTTGAGACAAGGATATGATTTTAGGAGACACTCCTTGACTGAACTTTGAGTGATGTGCCACTTTTGAACAGTAACCATCAAAATAATTAAAAGCATCAAACACAGAATAATGTGCTGGGTAGGTGGGGCACAGCACTGCGGCAAACAGCCTCTGGTTCCTTGCTCTGGTTCAATGGTGTTATAGGGCTGGTGCTCACCAGCTCATGGGAGCTCTGAATCTTGGTAGATTGTGAATCAACTAAGCTTCTTTATGTCGTCCATGGTGGGGCATTTACAACACTCAGCACATACTGAAAAATAAAATCTTAGTAACAAGAATAAGAGTAAGAGCTGGTGAAAGTTTGTAAGTCTGTAACTATATCTCACAGTGATTCATTTAAAAATATATATATTTAAAAAAGTAAGAGCTGGTGATAAATCTGTATCAGAGATTAAATTTTTAATATAGTTTGATATTATGGGAGTTTATGTCCTCAACTTCTGAAGTTTCCAGAAGTCTCTTAAAATCTCAAAACATTTATTTGTTGGCCTAATTTTCTTTCATCGTGATTCTCTCTAGGCCCTCACATTGTAATAAACACAAGCTTTCTGACATTTTATTTATTTAATAATTTATTTTAAGAATTATTAGTACTGTGACAGGTATTTGTCTTGCCCTCTCTATTGTAAACTAACATTCTTTTAGCTGTGTGGTGGCGTTTTTGTGGCTCTTGTGGAACTGAAGGGGAACCTACTCATTGTACATCCTCATTGTTTTTAACAGGAAAAAAGATACTCTGAGTTCCAAATAGCAGAATAATAAACACACTTGGACCTTACAGTGCAAAGATACTAATGTTATATTTATAAATTTCCCTTTCTTATATGAAAAACTATCTGAGATCAGGGAGTTCTTGGCTGGTGTTTTAGCCCACCCTGCTGAGGAGGGCTGAGCTGTAGAAGAGAATCCAGCCTCCTGGGTTTTGGGTGGGAGGAAATCTGCTCAACCGTGGGAGGTCTGAATTCAGTCACTGAACTCAGAGCTTCTTGAAAGCAAAGACAAAGCCTAGGGTGTACATGAATCAGGCGCCCTCAACCAAGGGATTGCAAAGGGTTGGCCAACCTCCCAGAAAAACAACCCTGATGTTTCAAGACTGGACAAAGGTGCCAAGGCACAGACCAGAGAAGAGTTAGAATCAGCTCTCTAGTTGGATGGATTATCAGTAACTCTTAACTTTCCATAGTCCCCTCCACCCTACAAGTAGGCACCAGAAGAGAACCCAGATAAACGTGGACACTCTAGTGGAGAGTGGTATGGGAAAGTGTTACTCACCAAATCCTATCATTAACAGAATTGTAAATCATGGTGTCAAAAGAAAAGAAAAAAATATAGAAAACAAACAGAAAAATTGTTTCTAGGGAAGGCAAAGTCCTCTGCAGATTCTGAAACCCACCAAGACAACTGTTCTCCATTGGGGATTCAGTTCTGCGGTGGCTACACTACTGAGTGTTTTGTTTCCTTGCTCATGGTTCTGGCACCACTCCCTCCACTGGAGTGTCCACTTTTATCTGGATTCTCTTCTGGTGCTTACTTACATCCCTCCAATGCTCTCTTATTGTCCATTGGCAAAAATGAGTTCCCTGGTCTCCCAGAAAAGCAAGTGTCTTTCTCCTACGTCTGCATGGAGACCAGACATGGGGCGACTTTAGGAGTTTCTCCCTTAACTAACTGGGAGCTTGGGAAAGAAAACAATATGACATAGAAAACAGGGGAAAGGAAAGGAGCTTGAAGGAATTAACAAAGTTAGATTAAAATACTGAAAGACATAAGGATTCTCTTTTGAAAGTTTAATTTTGAGATTGGCAGAAATTTGTCTGAGAGATTTGAAAACAGAGCATCACTTGGGGCTGAGAAATGTATGGAGAAATGTAGACTGATGAGGACTCAAATTCCCTTCTCTTTAAGTGGTTCTGCCTCTGCTCACAAAATGAAATAGGAGTTCCTGAGAAGCAAAAGAAGAAAAACTCCCATTCCCACTTAGCTTCATCTACAAAAATAGAGTGATTTCTCATTTATTCATTCATTCCTTCATCATCCTGTTATTCGTCGATTGCCTCGAGCAGGCCCCAGTAACGTCTCTTTCATCCTAGCCCTGAGATTATATTCAAGGCTCTTTAGGAGAATGAGACCCATCATTGTTACTGGTATTTGGCATATTTGGTATGCCACGGGGAGTTTGCCAGACTCTGCCCTGTGGGCAGGCTACATTTGATAGCCTGCAAGTTTGTCCAAAGTAGGAATGAGATAATAAGATGTCATAAAAAGATGTTCTGATAAGATGTCGCACAGCCACAAATGCGGCCGCGCGGTTCTGGGAGCTGGTTCTTACAGTCTCAGAGTCTTGGCTGCTGATGGGATTACACGGCGCCAGGGGGCCAGGTGGTGGGTGTGACCCCCGCCTACTGGAATTTGGAGGATCTGGGTGGAGGATGCTCGACTCCAATCCGAGTAGGCTTGGAGATCTCGGCCCCGGAACCCGCGTGGCTTTGTCCCTCTGCCAGTACCTTCATGTGTGCGGAGAGTGGTCTCAGCATGGTGGTGGCTGGTCCTGGAGGTCTTCGGCTGCCGGAGCCCTGGTCAGGGCGGGGAGGAAAGCTCAGCCCGCCCCCCTCCAAGGGGCCCCAGCGAGGAACAGCCAGGCGCAGGGGCAGGAGACTGCACTGGTGATTTCTCTGATGGGTAAAATTGGAGGGGAAATGTAATTTTTGCACATGTCTAAACCTCAACAAACAACACTTGATTTTGTTTTTGTGTTTGCGTGAAGCAAACCATGTGAGCAAGCAGGGTTCCGCAAAGGATTCAGCACCATCGACCATATCCACACGATAACCAAACTCATTGAGGTTTCTCGGGAGTTCAAGATGCCGCTCTGCTTAACGTTCATTGATTTAAAGAAGGCCTTTGATTCTGTTGAGACGGAAGCGGTCATTGAAGCCCTAGCCAATCAGGGCATTCAAGCCCAATACATCAGGATCCTCCGTGAGCTGTATTGCGGATTCACTACCAGGATCTCACCATTCTACAAAGAAGTGATCGTTGATGTCAAGAGAGGGGTGCGGCAGGGTGATACCATTTCACCAAAACTCTTCAGTGCCACCCTCGAGAACATCATGCGACGACTGGAATGGGAAGGAATGGGAGTGAAGATAGATGGTCGGCAACTACACCACCTCCGCTTTGCTGATGACATTGTTTTAATAACACCAAACATCAGCCAAGCGGCACAAATGCTGGCCGACTTTGACCGTGAGTGTGGAAAGGTAGGACTACAGCTGAATCTTACGAAGACAATGTTTATGAGAAACAGCCTTGTTCCTGACGCCCCATTCGCTCTCAATGGAACGACCATCTCCGAATGCAACAGCTATGTGTACCTAGGTCGAGAGGTCAACATGACAAATGACCTGGCACCCGAGCTGCGCAGGAGGAAGAGAGCGGCTTGGAACGCCTTCAAGAACGTCGAAGAAATAGCTAAGAGGACGAAGAACCTCCGGCTCCGGGCACATCTCTTTGATTCCACTGTTCTTCCTGCATTAACATATGCCTCAGAGACCTGGGCCCTACGCAAACAAGATGAGAACGCCATTCAGGTCTCCCAAAGAAGAATAGAAAGAGCTATGCTTGGAATAACACGTTTCACTCAAATGAGAGAACGAATCCGGAGTTCTGACATCTGTCGACGATCAAGGATCAGGGACGCTGTCTCATTTGCCAAGGTGTCGAAAATCAGATGGGCTGGTCACGTAATGAGATTTAAAGACGACCGTTGGACTAGAGCTGTTACTGATTGGATTCCACGGGATGTCAAGAGACCGCGTGGCCGCCCACCTACCAGATGGTCAGACTTCTTTGTCAAGGTCATGAACGATCGGTTTGAGGCCCTCCATGTTCCCGGAGCGAAGAGATGCCATTGGGCTACACTAGCACGCGACAGGGACAAATGGAGACGTTACTGGCGCCCGCTCGAGCAAATCGACGACTAACGGGAAGTTAAGTGAAGTGATTAAGTTTGCGTGAAGCAACTTAGTTTTTTAAAAATGGAAACTTACTGAGAAAAATGTGAGAGGAGGAGAGGAGAAAAAAAGGGAAAACGTGTTCAAGGGAGAAATCAAGAGAGATACGTTTTCAAGGGAGAACAATGGGTTTGAAGAGCAAGCCGACAAAGAGCACTTGATTTTAAAATAAAATGTACAAATTAGAACTGCTTATTTATCTTAGAAAATTGACTTAAATTTCTCTAAACATCAGAATTTTCAAAAAGCATGCCAAGTGAACATGATAATCTTAAAAAGTATAAATGTCATTTAAAATTATCTGTAGAGGATCCAGATAGGAAGAATAAGTGGCAGCCCAAGCCAGAGGCACAGGTTTGATCTCCAATAGCACATGATACCCTGAGAACCTGGAAACACAGAACCAGGAGTAGCCTCCACTGTTGGGTGTGGCCTACCCACCAAGAAAAATAAAGAACATCTATAAACCTAAAGAAAAGGCAGCATCAATGAATATTTTCTCCCAAGAGACATTAGAAAAATAACTTATTTTTCTTGGTATTAGAGAAGTGCTCAACTCAGATCATGTGGTCAAATAGAACTGATATCATGGCTGGAGAGATAGTTCAGTGGGTAAGGTGCTTGCCTTGCACGTGGTTGAACTGAGTTTGATCTCGGCATCCAGTATGGTCTCCTGAGCACTGCCAGAGGTGATTCCTGAGTGCAGAGTCAGAAGTATCTCCTGAGCATCGCCAGATGTGGCCAAAAGCAATAAATACAAAAACAAAAGAGATAAATGATACCTATA